TAGAAACTACTTTTTACCGATAAGTCACGAAAGCTGTACACTAATGGAATTATAAAGCTACATAAAAAATAGAAAGAATTCATAAATAGAAACTTTATTGATATTAATTTTCAAAAATAAAACACTTATTTAAAAATGCATCAAAATACGCCGCATACATTTTATATCGCCCAAAAATCATCTTTGTGCAAGTTTAGTTAGCAAAAAACTCAACGAATTGTGATAAACCATCCACCGTGTCCACGAGACATCGATTCGCGTAAGTTCATTTTTGTTAGCAAAGATATTATGATCACTTCGAGGAAGAATTTCGACCTGATTGTGGCCATTATATAAAGTTGGCTGAAGTAATTTACGGTAACTCCCCAATCAGCAAACGAAGAATATTTGAAGGATTGGGAGTCATACTCTAGCGAGCGTATAGATCGTATAGATTTATATAGATAGATTTTATATAGAATGTATGATTAACATATAAAGAAATAAGTTGTAAATATAAAGTAGAATGTAAAGTAAATAGGATTTTTTGAAAAAAAGTGTATAAAGTGATATCGTCTATTAGCACTTATATAGTTTGATAAGGTAGATTCCACACTATTTTTGAATGGCGTTTATATTCACAAACCGCTTTCAGAAAAATAGCTAAATTACTAGTGAATTTAGTTGCAAATAAATTTTTGCCCTTTTTTTGAAAAGATTTATTTTCATAAGAAGAAATTTGTAAGATACTAAGCTTTTAAAAATGTTCTTCTGAAACAGATTAAACACAACTTTAGTGACCTATTTTCGACTGTCTTTTAAAACTTTGGCACTATTTGATTTTGTTGACATAGAGGACTAGCTCAACTTTAATATTTAACTGCTAATATAAACTTTAGCTTCCTATTTTGGTATCACTCATTTAACTCCTTCGCTTCCGCATTATTGTGATAATCATTTTCGACGTCGTCGTCATCTTCATTATGTCGAATTATTTTCCAAAATACTTAAGTACTCACGTTCGAGTATCAAGGAAAGCACTTCGAAATGAGTTTTATTAAGTAAGTTGAGCAATAAAAACTAAATTTTATTTTCAACAACGTCGTATCAACAATTTCACCAGTAATAGTCACAATCCGCCACTACTCCCACAAAAATGTACCACCGCTATTCCATTTGTATATACTTTATAAAACTATTTTCGGCACACTTTCACAGCATGTTTACTTTAATTCCATGAATTTCGATTAGTAGCTATGGCAGTAGAGGGCGCCTAGTTATGTACGTCTACTTGGGCGAGGAGATACTGGTATCTTTAAGTGTACGAGTATTTCGAAAGTACATCGCTTTGGCGTGTGTATTATTTTAATATAAATTTTAAGTTGAACAGCGAACGTTCAGTTTTGAGAGCAATAATGTTTTAATTTATTTTTCTTAAGTTTGCTTCTGCTCTTCGAGTTACAATATTAAATACGAATATTTGATAGTATATATACTAATGGGAAGCTCTTTAGCATATCATGTATATAATTATTAAAACCATAGTTTAATGAAGTTAATTACTGAGTATCATAAAATAACTCGTTTATAAAAATGCTTTTTAAAGGAATTGAATTAGTTACTATTATAATGACATCGTTGTTTTCAAGAACAGACCTTAGAGTTTATAATTTGAACCAACTTAATATTTTTTTAATATACTAATTAATTTATTATAAACTATTAATTTTCTATTGTGTTGACAAAAATAATCAGCATTACTTAGTTTTCTTGACTTTAGGTGCAGTAACGTTAAAATATTTAGTGGTACCTAAACGAATAGTTTCTAACTGATTCACATACTTTCAATGCTTCCATCTAATCCAATCTTCTGCTACTTTGTCTCAGTTCAGTACTCCAATCGTTCTTACATCAACATAGACATTCTTATCCCATCTTGCTTTTTGCTTACCTCTATACCTGGTTGTCATCGGCTTTGCGTTGTATATGCTGCTCAGCTTCCTCTCCGCTCCCATTCCTACTACATGAGCAGCCCATTGTAGCCTTTGCAACTTAACTTTGTTCTGTTTCTTATTCCGATTCTGCCGTCATTTTTTTTGTTAGTCATCACCTTAAAGCTGTATTCACTAATTGGTATGTGTTGCGTACCCGTACTCTCGTTCCTTCTCGTTATCTTCAGTTATTTAGTTTTACTTTTATTAATTCTTGGGCTAACTTTTGTAGTGATTTCATCTAGCTTCTGGAAGACATTTGATAGATCACTTTCGCTCTTTGCAATGAATGCAATATCGTGTGCATACGCACAGATCTGGTACGAATTTTTTATAATATTGCCGAGATTTTCAAGGGAGTCAGTGGCGTAGTGTGATGTTAATATAAATAAAAATGCTGAAAGGCTGTCGCTCTTTTTAATTCCAAACGGCTCTGAAAGGTCTTCATTGAGAATAACTTTGACTGAGGAATTCTCTAGGATCATTGCGACCAATCGAACTAGTTTCTTCGTGGCTATCGAAAGCCTGTCGGAATTCTACGAAGAGTGAGTAAATATTTTCTGGTTTGTAGTAGTTGCTATGCTTGTGAAGTATTCTTTTATTAAGCGTTAGCAATTGAAGTCTAAGGTTCGTATCCGATATTTGGTGAATAAATACCATTAAGGAATTATTTATGAACATATAGCTGAGAGTCAAGCGACTAAGTTTAAAAATTTAATTTAATTTAATAATTTTATTTTAGAATTATTCGATTTACTCTTCATAAGGAAAGTTTTTTATTTCAACTTTTATTATTTGCTTGTAACTTTCTTTAGAGAACAATGTTTAAATAGCGAGAATTTGAAATACAACAAACAAATATGAAAACAATGGCGGGCCACATAATCGAGAAAACGCATAAGCCACCCAGCATTGGAAAACTTCGAAAACTATTCGATATCAATTGAGAAACTATTAGTGAAAAAGTTTTATTGACATTTGCTGCTTTTTGTTAAAAGTAAACTTTATTGCAGTTCGAAGCAGGTTGAGACAAGTATTAAAAAGTCAAAGATACTCTGCCTAGGCCGGAACTGCTACCGAAATAAGCTCGTTGGCTGGCATTTGCTAAAGATTTAATTTATATGCCGACGATTGTGTGCTGCCATTGTTCCGTTTTATTTGTCCGATTTTCTTTATAATAAAAGATCTTCAAATGCAGCAGAATAGGTCTTTTTTGTTTTTTGGCCACTGAAAGTTTGTTGTTTAAAAGTATACCTAACGACATACCGCCGGGTATGAGCTGGCGGTCATACGAGAAACTTCTATTCAGTCCTGCATATTGTGAAGGAGTGTTCTTGCACCAACTGCAAACTTTTGCTCTATCCAAAAATGTTTGCTTTTTATTGTCTTTATTCGATAGAAAAACTTTTCGTATTTTTGCTCGATTATTTTGCTTGCATATGAAAATTATAAAATATATCAGCTGTATGATTTTTATTGAATTTATTTTTGAAGTTTCTTCCAAGTTTCTATTGGTTGTTGAAACACATTTAATCCAACTATTTATTGCTATTCTAATTCCCATTTTCTTTATATATGAATGTCATCAAAGAATCACGATCAAAAATTTCAATTTATTTTGTTATAACATAAATTACTATAAATATATATAAAATATATTACTTCCGAACCTTACAGAATCCTAACAATTAAACTTGTGATGGATGTTAATCACTTTATAGTATAAGCACTCATAACTAATACGTATTCATTAAAAGTGAGTCTGATACATACTATAAAAATCTACAAAAAGGTTTTTTTTTTAGGAATAAATAGTAATAGAGATACAAGGTTTAAAAAAAAATTTACCTCATAAACGGTATCTGTGAAAAATACGAATGCCTCAAAACATACTCCTATTGAAATCAATTTTTTAAGTATCTGGCTTTTATGTGATAATTTTTTATCTGATTAATCTGGTATATATCTCTTACTAATTCTTAAACAGTTTTTGTTATGGACCGTGTTTTTTTTTCTATTCTCTTATTCAGATATATTTTCTTTTTTGTTATAATGGTGCTCAAATTAAGCTTTCTTTTATCAATTGCATTGCATTAATAATGTAATTCAAAGTTTTCAAACATGATCTTCTGGATCTCACAATTCTTTCAACTTCTATCTAAAATATTAATAATATTAATATTAAACAATAATTTATTTTTCCGCTTTATTTTCTTTGGTCCGAAATATGCGGAATCAGGCAACTTCATCATTTTAATTATTCATATCCCAGCCTTGCATTTTTTTCTAATTTAATTCATCTTTCGAACTCAAGTTATTTTCTAATTCATTTTCCTCTAATCACTTCTTAAAAGTTAATAGCAATCTCTCTTGTAACTTCATGAACTTCTATGTTTTCTATGATTCTTCTATGATAATTCATAAACAAAATATGCTTTCCCTATAGCATTATCTTGAAATGCTTTATGGATTAGACTAACGCCTTTCGGCACTGCGAACAACATGATCTATTGTGCACCTATGAGCTTTATTAAAATATAGTATTATCATGATATTCATCCTTCCCCTTCATTTTGGTTTACATAATGTTTCAATTCCATTATAATAAATTTATAAGTGAGTTTCTCTACCTTGACCTATTCTTCACTAGGTATTTTTTCCATTTTGGAGACACAGTTCAATAACTTCCGATTGCAAATAATCAAACAGCGCAAATGATGACTAAAAATATTTTATTGAAAAAAAAAAAAAAAAAATTAGAAATATTTTGACAATTATTGAAAATATCACATTTCATTAAATACTTAAAGGAGTGCTCTCTATTATGTATATAAAAATCATCTACAAATAACAGCACATTACGGAAAATAGCGCGATTTTGCAAATTCTTCCATTAAAGTAATGGATTTAGCAAAATTAAAACAATTTTTTAGAAATTGACCGTCGATAAGGCAGCATTTTAAACAATCTTTTCCAATGTTCAGAATAGTTGGCCTTGAAATTTAAATTATTTTGATATCCCAAAAGAAATATCAATATAGATCATATTAAGTATTGTTAGTTATAGGTTGAGCAAGAAATTACTAAATTGGTAACATATACCTACATATATAGACAATGCTGAACTGAATGCAAATCGCTTGTTAAAGTCATCTTACAAGCGATTGGCCTAACTTCCAGCTAATGGCCAAACATATAGCCACAAAACAACAAAATCAAGGCGTTCATGTTTTGCGCTTAAGGTGAGTAACAATTCGAATATCTAAAAATCGAAATCAAAATTGAAATCTTAAGTGAAAGCATTAATTTGGATGAATTCTCTTCTCTTTGTTCGATTTAGAAAATTCATGCATTTGATAATGGATCGGTCAAAACGTCCTATGTGAGTATTCAGTCCAGAGTACATTCGATTTATTATAATCACCATATTCATATATGGTGCATATTTATTTGCTATTAAACTAATTCCTAGTTCTGATATGTATGTGATTTCGATTATTTTAATTCTGTATTCGTTCGAATTTTAGATAAGCCTTTTTCTTTGGATTAAGTAAGGTAAGTAATATTTTTATGTTACTTTTTCAGTAATACGAGTATTATTGTATAATTATTAGAGAGCAAATATAAGGAAAAAGCAGAGCGAAGGTAAATTCTCATTCTCATTTGATGTAAGTTAGGTGAACTTGTGTCTACAATGCAAGTATGGGTATGGGTATGGATATGCTTTCGTTTCAGACACGAATGCGATATCGCTTTGCAGAACTTAATAAATGGATTCGTCGGATTAGGAAGGTTAGAGCATCCTTCCTTCCTTAAAAGCTCCGTTTAGTGTATGAAATTTACTCAGCTGAGTAACATCTGAGGTAAGAATAATTTATTTCATATTTATTTCAAGTCCCTTAATATATATATTCCTTTTTAACCGAATAATTGATTCGATATTGCAAATAAGACTACTGCATGCGATCTACATTTAGTTTGATATCAGATTATTGGAACTTTAAATAAATTATTAGTTATATGTTGTTTTTATTTAAAAAAGTTTATGCGAGTTTTCCACGTTTTTCAGAAAAGATCACAGTTTCGTTTTCTCATTACGATAATGCAGATGTCTAAAGTATTGAATATTGTAAATTGATGTCATCGATTCGTTATTACGAATTTCTTATTATAAACTCGTGTTATAAACTCGAACTGGTAGAAAAGGATAACCTTTTACCTGATTGAGTGGAAAATACTTACTTATCATATAAAAGATCCTTTTTGTGACAGATAAACTAGACTCAATTCATATATAAATGTTGTACTGACATTCGATATTGGAAACGAATATAAACTAAAGTTTTTTTCTTGATACTTGCTTCAACAAGATTTTAATTAGTTAGACATTTATTAGTTAAATTGATTTGATACACATTTATTCTTTCCCTCCATGTTCCTAAAGTTCGCTTCTATATATAACTTCACATTTTCTTTAAGGCTTTTAGAGATGTTCGTTGTACCTGATATATTTGAAATAAAATGTCCCAAAAGAACTTCTGTAGCTTTAATTAAATGTTTTAACTTCTTACTACTTAAACACTGAATGTGACTGAATAATAAAAATATTAACTATATGAAAATTATTTTAATAATAAAATATTACAAAAACTTATGTACATACGAATTATTTCTCATTTTCAGGTACCCATCACTGGAGTTATTAATAATGAACAATAAATCATGGTGTGAGAGTTACTTTGTAATTCATCATACCTTTAATATAATGGTTGATCTATGCACGAAACTCAATTGAACATCCTATAGAAATATGTTCTCGTTTGATGGCGCTATTAAGTTGATATGCAGCGACATGATAGACAATGAAGCAGAACTGTACTAATGGTCACCCATTCAATTTATTGTGAATAACAAACCATTTTGAAATATAACCTCTAGCGCATGTTGTTGTACATTATTGGACACAAAGTGGTGAATTCTATAATTTCGGAATCTAATGGGTATATCCAGAATTTAGACATAGTGTCAACTTTTTATCTGTGCCCTAGGAAGCATTGAAATTAAAAAGGAATTTGGAGTTTGGAGGTTGACAGTGCAATAGACGATTCAATAGAAGGAACTTGTTGTGTAAGACACATTTAAGTTGTTGTTTTATTTGTTTATTTTACCTATCCACCTTACCTATGTAAATGTAGATTCTGAACTCTACAGTTAACAGTCTACTTTCAAAATACTTTGTTATGGTAAATAATGTTATTCAATTCAATTCTTTCGAATATATATTCTGTCGTTAAATATGTTAAATATGCTAAATATATTAAATATTATATTTCGAGTGTAGAAGGGAAATTATGTATCTTGTCTGGAAGAGGATATGTGGAAAAATGTGGTTAAATTATAAATTTGAATTTATTAGAAATTTTTAGTCGTATTCAATGTAACGATATTTATTTTGACGAAAAAAATTTAATCTATTCAACCTGCATTCTTAAGATATAATCCATACCTTATCGTAAATGAAAATTAGAGAAACTATCATGTAAAACTTTTTAATGGAAAATTCATGATTTTTTTTTTATGTGTCACATTTATGCCATACAAGATAATAAAATAAGTCTTTTATACGGTATCGATTAATAATTTAATAACGAAGTTAAATTTCTAGTAATATATAGTATATTGGAATCTGCGTTATAAGATATATGTCAGTAGGTTATTAATTGTTACATTTCAGTAAGGATAGGACTACATTTCTCCATAAAATATTAACTCGGTTCCAATTGATCAGAAACAATATATGATTCAGATTTTAATGAGTTTTTTTATTATTCTTTCATGAACTCACTTGTTTTTTTCTGTTTTATTAACTTAGTTTAATTACAATACTATTAGACTCAGAAAAAGAATATGAAATTATTAATCCTATTAACAACAGGTTTTTTATTAATTTAATTCTACACAGTTATTTTCCAGAGAAGTTTTTACAGGACTTATACGGGAAATTTAAATAAATGATCTGTAGTGTTGCAATTAAGGATAACGAAAAGGAGCACCTTATTAATTGAAGATAACCAACCTAGAACCAAGAACCAAGAACCAAGAACCAAGATTTCAATACTGTGATTTTATGGAAAGTATTAGGTCTATATTCTTCATGGAAAACTTTTTGCGAATACAACTTCATCAAAGGAGTATTTCGAGCACTGCGTAGTTTTGTTGCGTGACTCGATACTTTTAAATGTCCAACTCGCTGAGTAAAATTTTAAAAAGTATTTGTCACAAAACTATAAAAAATTAAAAACTTTTGTATTTTGTATTTCTAAATTTTTAATATTGTGCATTTCTAAATTAAATCAATATTTGGATTAAAATGATGAAATGAAAAATAGTTTTTTATTTAGTAAAATCTTATGTATCCGTACGAGAGAAATAGTAAGTACAGAGTCATATATTTATAGTATATAAGTTTAGTTTAATATATAAAGCACTTGATACTGGAAAGAGTAAGATGACAATAAACTATTGTGAATATGAAACCGGAATTGATTTTTTTTGTTTGTGTAAAACTCTTACAGATTACCTTATTTTATTAGTTAATAAAACTATTTTTATATTAGAATATAGTAGATACGTAGATCTAATTTTAATTGTGTTCAGATTAATAACATAACACTATTAAGATTGATATAAAAAGGTTTCGCTATTCGGCGGTCTCAGAAAACATTCTCTCCAAGGCACTCTCGAAGAGAACGTCAGCCTCAAGCAGTAAACTTGCATATTAACTACTCTTCATTCTGGTCACTTTCGTTAATTATCTTGTCAACAGCCACATATATTTTTTGGTATTTTATTTAACACTTTTCATGTCTTTGTGTGAACTTTATTTGTGTTCCAAAATTGAATATCAATAACAGATATAAAAATAGCGCTTTCTAAACCAGAATTCGAGGGTCTTATGCCAGCGTTTAAGATCACATAATGCTTCAATTTTGTTTAAATATTCCCACTTTCTAGCCATTTGTAAAAATTTATTAAACCTTTATTAAATCACATGTTTGTACAATAAAATCTTCAATAGAGACTACACACCTATTTATTCTTTGTAACTTGATAACTTGGACAACATTGTGTTTTTTATCTTCCTTTTTGTAAAATGACTAATATCAAGATGGAATTAGTTAACGTATACGTAGCCATAAATCATGAACGACAGAATATAGAGAAAGTTTTTACTTTTGACACAAATAATAGTGTATTGACCAGGTACAGGCGTGACCAGGTACAGAGAAGATCCTCTGTTAGTGCGATCAAAGTTTAATAAAAATTTCTCTCTTGTTCATTCTTACGATGGTGACCACGACTGAGACCACGGCCGTGAACACGACTGCGATTCTTAAGTGGACAGTGCCTAAATAATTTTGATTAATAAATAAATAAATTTAAGTATGAATAATATGAATTTGGAAAATTTTACTGAAGTAGACAGTAGTGATTAAGACGATATAATTGAAAATATGCTTTTAAATCGATTAAAGTAACATAGAAATATGTGAAATCTGATGCGGAGAATACGATGACATGCACGTCATATTAATTGATGGGCATTCGTTGTAACATAACTAATATAAAATTTTTTATAATTAAAATTTGTTTTTACTATGAAATATTTACTTATCTTTTATATCTTAACTCGCAAATTTGTTTATATTTAATAAAAAGGATTGGTCAGCTGATCGCTTACGTCACGACTGGGTCAGCGTTTGGGATTGGTGCTAACATGCAGTGATGCTCAGAGCATCATTTCTATAAAGTTGCAGAACTGATTTATATGCATTGTTCGATATTTTTGGTATATACCTAATGTTTTTTCAAATAATTTTTGTTTTGATGAAAGATGAATTATATGCATAAAAAAGTAATTCAACTAAAACATTAAAATTAACTGCGAAGTACATGTTTTATGTTGTAATTTAATATTTAGTATAAAATTAATAAAACTAAATATGATATGAACCCGAAGGTTGTAATGTACATATTTCCAATGTCCTATTTCATCACTTTACTGAAGGACGTTGAGAATTTTTCGGTATTCAATAATCGATATTCGGTATTCTATATTCGGTGAACATGAACTTATTGCAGTAAAAAGTAATAAGTAAAGAAATATTTATGAAAATGAAAATTAAATAAAAAAACAAGTTTTACTTATATTTTATACTACTTTTTCATATTTTCTCTTGACATTTACATGCTTTTATGTAAAACAAACAAGCAAAAACAAAATTAGCTACATTATCGAGAAAGAATTAAAATGGGGCGTTGACAGAGAGAGCAGAAGACCCAAAAAGTTTTTTTGGGATTGAATTCGTATTACAAAACAGATAACGAAATAATTTAGAAAAAATGCTACATGTCTGTAAAAACTGATAGAATTACGATTGCGGAAGATACAGATGATTAAAGTATGTCTGTAAAATTGTACATTATTGTATACAGATGAAACCTTCAATAGGCACTGATCAGAGAATATTCATTTTGAAGTGATAGTGTGATGTTTGTACATATAAAGTAGTAACCCTAGTATTCGCATCCTAGTAAAATAAATATAAATGTACATATTGTACTCCTTGCATTAGGAGGAATAATAGTTGATACTTTTAAGGACAATCGAAATATGAGTAAAGTGTGGTTTCTAAATTCATCAACAAATACTTAAAAATTGTTTTCTATAATTCCTTGTTTAGATTAATAAAGAAAGATTGTATTATGGATTCCATTGCGTTGCATTACGTTGCGTTGTCTTGCATTCTCCTTTAAAAGCACAATAATCTATCACTTAATATCATATTGTTCTGCGTTTTTCAAGTTTTGTTCTGTTTTTATTCAATTTATTAATTTTACCTATAAAATCTTTAAATTCGTTACCTTTTTCATTTGGATCCTTAGCTGTGTCATTCATTTTACTTGAGTGTTTTTATTCGTCCAGGTTTATATAATGCATATACTGAATAATGACAATTTCATAAATGGGACTCTTTGTCTTTCTTTTTTTGTCTTTATTTATTTTTCATAAGTTTATTTTTCCTATGTCAAAGACTCTATTCCAGAACTTACGTTTGCGAATAATTTACTTCTTCAGAGCAGAAAATGCAGACTGAAAATATTTTCCTAAAAAAAGAAAATTCAATTAGAAATATTTTAACAGTTATTGGAAATATATTTTATTAAATACCTAAAGGAGTGTTCTCCATAATGTTAATAAGAATCATCTGCAACAGCAGATCATGTAAAATAACGTGACTTTGCGAATTCTTCCCTCAAACTAATGGATTTTATGGAAACTGACATCGATAAGGCAGCATTTTAAACAATCTTTTCCAATGTTCAGAATAGTTGGCCTTGAAATTTAAATTATTTTGATATCCCAAAAGAAATATCAATATAGATCATATTAAGTATTGTTAGTTATAGGTTGAGCAAGAAATTACTAAATTGGTAACATATACCTACATATATAGACAATGCTGAACTGAATGCAAATCGCTTGTTAAAGTCATCTTACAAGCGATTGGCCTAACTTCCAGCTAATGGCCAAACATATAGCCACAAAACAACAAAATCAAGGCGTTCATGTTTTGCGCTTAAGGTGAGTAACAATTCGAATATCTAAAAATCGAAATCAAAATTGAAATCTTAAGTGAAAGCATTAATTTGGATGAATTCTCTTCTCTTTGTTCGATTTAGAAAATTCATGCATTTGATAATGGATCGGTCAAAACGTCCTATGTGAGTATTCAGTCCAGAGTACATTCGATTTATTATAATCACCATATTCATATATGGTGCATATTTATTTGCTATTAAACTAATTCCTAGTTCTGATATGTATGTGATTTCGATTATTTTAATTCTGTATTCGTTCGAATTTTAGATAAGCCTTTTTCTTTGGATTAAGTAAGGTAAGTAATATTTTTATGTTACTTTTTCAGTAATACGACTATTATTGTATAATTATTAGAGAGCAAATATAAGGAAAAAGCAGAGCGAAGGTAAATTCTCATTCTCATTTGATGTAAGTTAGGTGAACTTGTGTCTACAATGCAAGTATGGGTATGGGTATGGGTATGCTTTCGTTTCAGACACGAATGCGATATCGCTTTGCAGAACTTAATAAATGGATTCGTCGGATTAGGAAGGTTAGAGCATCCTTCCTTCCTTAAAAGCTCCGTTTAGTGTATGAAATTTACTCAGCTGAGTAACATCTGAGGTAAGAATAATTTATTTTATCTTTACAATGTATACATATATATGTATTACATAGACAAGTCCTATTATATGTACCCTCTTCTAACAGAATAATTGATAATCAATCAAGATTCTTTCTATGACAGATATTTGATATTCGATATAAGCTAAAATTTTTTCTTCACAAATATTTTCACATTTACTTCAATATACTTGCTACTTGATTCAACAAGATTTGATGTAGTTAGACATTCCATCCATGGTCCTAAAGTTCGTTTCTATATATAACATCACATTTTCTTTAAGGCTTTTGTAGATGTTCGGCGTAGTTGACATATTTGAAATCAAGAGTCCCAAAAGAATGTCTGTGGCGTTAATTAAATATTTTAACTTCTTACTATTTAAACACTTATTGCGATTGAGAAATAAAAAGATTAGCTATATGAGAGAGAGAAAATAATTTAAATAATGAAATATTATAAAAACTTATGTGCATACAAATTATTTCTCATTATCAGGTACCCTTCATTGGAGCAAACTCAATCCAACGTCCTACAGAAATATGTTCTCGTTTGATGGCGCATTTACCTTTAAATGAAGCGATACGACGGACCATGTAACTTAGCTGTATTGGTGGTCATAAAGTGGTGAATTCTTTGAAGCCTATCTAAAATTTGTGATCTGATGTGTACGTGGAATTACCCGTCACCACATAATCCGATGTCTAGTTACATATTTTACAAAGACGAAGTGAAACAAGGAAGTAGTGGACAAAGATGAAGTGAAACATAAAGTTCCACTACGTGAAGTAGTGCAACTAATTGGGCAAGACTAATTGGGTAAAGTATATAGAATTACTTTACGTTTAACAACAGATTTTTTATTCATTTAATTCTGGTTTGAAGAAGGAACCTTTACTTACAGCACAACTACATACATTTTCGACAGGAGTTTCCACAGAAGTTACTAATATGGGAAATCTAAGTAAATGGTCTGTAGTGTTACAATTAACGCTAGCGAAAGGGTGCGTCTTGTTAATTGGAGATAACCAACCAAGAACCAAGATAACGATACTATGACTTTATCGAAAATAATAATGTATTTGCTAATACAACTTCATCAAAGGATTTTTTCGAGCACTGCGTAGTGTTGTTGCGTGACTCGATTCTTTTGGGTGTCCAACTCGCTGAGTAAAATTTTAAGAAGTATTTGTCACAAAACTATAAACAATTAAAAACTTTTGTATTTTGTATTTATAAATTTTTAATATTGTGGACTTTTAAATTAAATCAAAATTTGGATTGAAATGAAATGATAGTATTTTAATGTAAAAACAATTAAGTGTTTAAACGAAATGGTAAATATAGGCTCATGCATGCAGGTACGTGATACCAAGAGGTGTAGGAAGACCATGAAAGGAGTGTTAGTTGAGTTAAGAAAACAAATAACTGAAATATTCATATTTGAAAAATCTCAGTGGTTCACACAAATTAAGCACAATATTTTGATATTAGTCAGAAATTGAATTATACACTATCAGAACATAGTAAATATTCTGATCTAATGCACAATTTTGTATTATCTTCATAATTTGGAACATTTGTTTTCTCCAATATGTAGCGTAATATTAGACTATTAAATTTTCATATCATTGATTGATGATCGACTCAAAAATTATGTTGATCTCTTTTTGTTAAAAATATTAGTGCTGTGAAAGAAATAATTTATTATTAAAGTAGTAATGCTATTACTCATTAAACTTCATTTTCTTGGTTATTAAAATTTTAACATTTATGTATTTTTATTCAGTATAATTTATGTAGTTATCTTTTATGTAGTCTTATTCAGTTTATTAAAGGCGTAATTTGTATAAGTCTCTACAATAAATACTTACCATATATATGGAGGAAATAAAGTTTCGGAATATTGAGAACCAAATAGAAAAAAATCGTCGACTTTTGGAAATTGGAAATAGAGGATCTCAAACTTTAGAATATTAATAATAACAATAATTAAATATAATTTATTGCTTTGTTTTAAAAAAAAAAAATTTCATTAATGTACATTTAAAAAAAAAAAAATTAATTGAAATAAAAAAGAATTAAAATAAATAAAAGTTTTTAATTATTTACTTTATAAAGTATTTATAATTATTAATTTTTATCATATTATTTTTAATATTTTGTGCTGCAGATGAATAATGCGATTTTTAAATTTAAATGAACACATGATGCATAATTCTTAGCATTTGTTCTTAAAACAATTCAGTCTGCCAAGCAATTCTATTCGGGGGAGTCTCCCAATAAGGAACTTCTATTCGAAGGAATATTGCATTTTAGGAGAAATTTATCCCCTGGGTGAGAAAGCGTTTATTCCTGTAACAAAAATATGACAACGAATCTGTGATAAAAAGCAAATAATTTTGTGTTAATAGTTATTTAAATTAATTTGTGTATAATATGTGTAATATATTTAGATAGTTTGTGTAATCATATGTGTTTTGAAATCGCAAGACAGAGCAGAAACTTGAAAGAATTTGTTCTAGATTATATATATATTATACTGAAACATTTGATGTGTTTTAGGCTGTTTGCAAATTGCTTTTAATGTCCTTCAAAGAGGAAATTTATAGTCATAGACTATAGAAAAGAGTGAATCCACCTGAAATGCTAAGCCGTTTTTAAAGTTTGGTATTGCCAGTTGACACTGTGGTCGACGGGTGCAAATAAAATAAATGCTTTTCCATCACGTTGATCCTCACGTTGCATTTGAAGGAAAAATAGTTGAATTGTTAGAATTCGATCGATCAATCAAAATGTTAGTAAAGTGTGGTTTAAAAATATCCAAAAATTATTATTATAAAAACAAAAGCAAAATATTTGACATAATGACAGTACCAAAGTTTGCTGGATAAGAAGGCAAAACGTAAAAAATCAAGAATTTAGAAAATTCAGCTTTGCTTTAATATATAGATTTTGATTCTTATGTTAAAGCCCAAAGAATGAATAGAACGTATTCTTAGAATTTAGCTATACAAAATTTAAGTGGGTTTGGTCAGAAGCTATTCACGGAATATGTAGAAAGATTAACTTCAACTTTCAAGCTGTTTCTTGTCTTATAGTGCAAACAGCTAATAAATATTATTTTTCTATTTTTCTATAAAAAAAATTTCATCTATTTTGTGGCATTTGCTGTACACTTCTCTTGAAGACCTTAACGCATTAATGCTATACCGCAAGTGAAATCATTAACTGAGAAAATAAAATGAGTGGATAAGAATATTTTTTCTCTTACATTCCAATTTACTGATGCAATTTGACAACATAATAAATAGGTACATGTGACTGCTATATGGTATTTGGTTTTTCGTTAAAGTCTTATGGATGTCGAAATCATCCAACTCTATGAAATTACGAGTTCGTAGATTATTAAATAATGACGCCATTGTAATAACAAATAACGATGAAAACAGAATCCAAAAGGAATACGGATAACCTTGTTCACACAGACGACCGAAACTATTTCGGAATGAAATAGTTATTGCTTTTATTTTGTGTTTATAATTGTATGTATTTTTTTCCAACTGAGAACTTAATCAATTTAAAATAGTTTAATCCGGAATAGGTACATTCACTATACTACTATTACTTTCAATCCAATCCTTTAACTCCTTTAATTAAAATCCTTTAATTTAATTTGATTGTATGGAGTGCTTTCTGCTAGGTCCATTACATCAATTTGCATAATTACATACTCGAGTTTGGAGAAGTTATCAAAAAACATTGATTTTTTTAGTCCATGATTCCTTTGACTTTGGTAATAGAGGTTTATATCTGGTCCACACAACAAAACGATGTTCTGTAAAAACAAAATGATTACTGTTTAGTTTTTTTTTTTTTTTTTTTTTCAGTAGGTGAAAAACATCGAAAGCCACAGTGTGAGACTTGAACCCAAAACCACCTCTTAGGAATGAATGGAGAAGATTCATTCCAGTAATCAGGGGAGACAGAAAGTAGATGGACTTAATAGGTTCATCTAAGTCAGAAAGCAAGGGCATGAATTGAGAAGAAAGGATAATAATGAAGGTGGTGGGTTTACGGCTAGTTAGCGGTGGTGAGACTAGTGATATACTTTGTGACCAGGGTCACGAAAGCCGCGGTTAAAAAGAGGAATAGCGAGAGGATTTTGATCTAGCTCATCAAAATAGTGGAGAAGGTACTGTGGAAGTTTAAAACGTAAAGCTAGTACAAGGTCTACTGGGAGGGTATCTGGACAAGAGACATCAGGAGGGAGGTCGTGGAGCCGGGTGAGATACCTACGGGCGAGTGTCAAAAGGTACGAGTGATCTTGGCATTGCCATACAGAGTGGAGATAGAGAAGTGCTTGCCATTAGGCTTGCGCTTATAGTTGGTGCAATCACGGAGAAGTTTCCGCTCAAACAAGCGGATTCTTTCCATCTGAGCAGAAGTGATGGCAGACCAAATAGGGAAGTCATAAGTGAGAAGAGGACAAATAAGCTGCTTATAGCAGAGTAACTTAACTTTGCAGTTAAGTTGGTTGTGTCTTCGAAGTGCAGTTTTGAGTTGAGTGTGCCTGAACCGGGTGTTACGGATGGCATAATCAACATATGATATAAAATTGTGTTGAGATGAGAAGACAATACCAAGATATTTCAGCTTGGGGCAAGCTGAATTGGAGAGTTGTTAAGCTTAAGCTTAATATTAGAGGTGCTAAAACCTCTAGGACGATCACGCTGCTGGCTATTTAGCACGGTCCTCGCACCAGCTGAAAAATTGTATAAATTTTTCGCACCACATAAGTTCATATTTCATCACACCAATGGTATTATTAAATTACCCAAACAAAATCAAGAGATCAAAAAAATGATGGCTAATATATACTTCATTATACACTTTATATCACTTTATATCACATATTGATAACTTAACCTTTGTGCAACATGCTACCGGCAATGTTAAAAATATATTTAATTCCTGTTAGACCTGTGAACATTGGCCACAACATTGGGACGTACAAGAATTTCAAGTGTCCCAAAAATTTTGGAAATTTTAAATCATATGAGTTGAAATTTCAAATATTATTAACAGAAATATTAGTGTTGAATTTAATTGTTTCGATGAAAGAATCTGTATGAAATGTTAAGTGTCAATAAGAATAACTTACCTAAATGAATTAAAACAATAGCGAAAATCATACTGAAGTGGTGAGTTATGCTGTTAAGGGGAATAAATAAAATAAGGGGACGCATGAGTTGTATGTAAGGTTCAAAGCGAATATATTGGTTGGTTTCAAGAACGCTGTAATAATCGTAGATTTTGAACAACTATTTTCAAGTGTTTGTAGGTAGGGACAGGATAAGCTAGCACTCCTGTTATTTCACATGTTACACTATTGAAAACAAATTTAAAATTATTTATACTCCCCCATCAATTCATCATTAGAAATTAATCCTCATCTATTACAATAGTTTATCACCGGCTCCCGTAATATCAAAATAGGAGTTTATTTCCACTTTTAAGTGTAAATTGTGATCAATGGAAATTACTATATAAAAATTATGTATTTTTAATTACTTCAATAAATTTCATACTTGTTTACTTATATATGTACTGTACATAAAGAATATGTACAGATCATGAACATGACCAATTAAATCAAAATAATTTGAATATAAAGAGTTTAAAGAGGCATTTCTTTATAACAGTCCCGGAAACAGCTCTATTCTTGCCCCAACAAAAGATTTATATTTAAGGCATTCAAAAAAATATGATGCTATCTATTAATCTATTAAATAATGTTGTTAAATTAATCAAATAAGATTTATTTAATAAACGATAAATACAGTTAAGTTTGGACGTTCTACCAAAAAAAACATGTCAGTACATTCATCTCCACCCACACTGTAAAAGGTACTTACATATATTCAGGTTTTTTTTGTAGTCTTTTATTTATGCAATCGAGTTTATAAATCACGACTTATATGAAGCTGTAATATTTAAGTTTTATTGCAGAGTCTGAAAGCCATGATGTTAAGTTCAAACAGAGGCTCATACGTGATGACAGCTGTCTTCTTCTGTCTTCCTATCGTTAGACACCTTGAGGATACGAATTTGCTACCTTACGTTTGTATGAGTTTTACGAATATATTATCACGTATG